TTTTTTTCTACTTTTTCGTTTTGAGAAACCAATCTAAATCCTTTTGTGTTCTTTATTCGCTTCGTTAAATCAAGCAATCGAGAGGAAACTGAAGTGTGGTAAATTACGTAACTACCCTTTTTGTTAATTAGAGATTAGTAAGTTAAGTAAGATGGTTTTATTTTTATTCAGAGATGTCGTAATCCACTTTGTGATTATGAAGCTATAAATAACTATTTTCTGGTACTTTTTAAGTGTCAATCAATGATCCATTTGCACTACTAATCTACTTTTGATTTTTTTATTGACAAAAAAAAAAATCTACTTTTAAATTTTTAAAAATTTACCATAGTTTTCGCGCAATTTACTTCGTGATTATCCTCTCGGAATATTTGGTTAATGTCTTTAACAAAAAAAAAAAAAATCTATAATTACTTGAAAAAATCAGCAAATGGTCGGAAGTGGGATCCACATTGGGATTCTTTGTTTTTTGTCTGGTTGGAATTTTTTTGATTCAATGAATCTATTTTCGGATGAGGAATCCTTTTTTTCTCTTCTCGTTAACTTTTCATGTTAAACTATGTATATTAGCAAATACTACTTGTTACATTACACATATAGTAGCTCATATGATTAGAGGGATTAAATTAACCTCGTTGATTCGATTTTAACGCATTAAAAAAGAAGAAGATAAATAACAACTTTGAATTCCTATAACAAAAATAAATCTTGTTGTTTCTTGAACTTGAATATTTGCTAAATATCGACTTATTAAATATAATTATGCATGTTCAATTTATTGTATATTTTCACGATCTTAATATTGGACGTATAAATTAGCTATTCGTCGAAAGTTTATTTTTGTTCATCGAATAGCTTTCGATCATTGTTAACACATATACTGAAATGTGAAACATATCGTAAAATGATATTAGCTAGGGATAATATTGACATTTTAAGTAACATTTTATTCGGTGAATTAAATCTGCCAACTTTACTTTCTTCACGAACACACTAAAATAATTTTTTTTTTCATTTTTGATAAGGACACCGACGAATTCTCGAAGAACAACCATCACTGCAAAAACAGAGACAATTGCTGAAATGGTGTTGAGAAGAGAAACAATGATCTCGGATGGTGTTGGAAAAATCAGATTGTTTATTTTTTTTTTTTAATTATAAAAATCGAATGAAAACACAATTATGTCCTTGATAGTTCATCTTATTTACAAAAGA